GAGTCTCACGTTGGCTCATGTCATTGAGCAAATCTCTTAATTTCCATCAGCTTCAATTTCTTCATCTTTCAAGTAGGAATAGTAAGAGTGACTCAGAAGATAAAGTTTAAATTATAAAATGTACTTACAGAGTAGCTGGAAGATGATATAAATTATTATTATTGTCTGTTTACTATTGTTATAAGTATTAGTATAATCCACTAAAATTCATACTCGGACTCTAAATCCAATAAAGTTCATGATCTTTACTCTGAAAAATGGGAATTCCTCTATAGTGAATATTTATTTATATTTCAGGTGTAATTTGCATAGGCTTGCAGTAAAATTTACCTTATAACATTTTATATGTGTTTATTATATAAATATATTAGGTTAGTGCAAAAGTAATTGCTGTTTTTGCCATTGAAGGTAATGACATAAACCACAATTACTTTTGCACCAACCTAATTATATAAATGTCAACGCATACAGTTTTCTGATATTAATATAGATTTATCAACTTCCTTTTAATTTAGTAATCTTTTCCCACTTTTTTCCAACTTCTCTGAGCTGTTTTTTTTTCTAAGTATGTGTCTTTAAATAAACCTACCCTAGATTTTTGAAATCCAATCTGAAAATCTCTACTTTTAATTGCAAATGTAAGCCATCTGTACTCATTTTATTTAAAAATTGTGATTGAGATTTATTTCTATCATCTTATTTAGTGTTTGCAATTTACCATGTATTTTTTCTTTTTTCCTTTTTTTCTACCTTCTATTAATTATTGGGTTTTCCTTAATCATTTTTTTGCCCTTTACTGGATTGAAAATCATATAATCTATTTATTAAAGGTTACCTTTAAATTTTAGTTTGCATCCTTGACCTAACAAAGTCTTAATTTGATGATTATCTCCCTCTCCTTCCAGAACACGCTTTTTCTACCATCTTACACATTATCTGTGTCCATATTTTAATTAACTTTGCTTTTTTGTCCCATAGTCAATGCTTATTTATATATACCTATCTTTGCCAATTTCTTGGCTCACAATTGTTTCTTGTCCAGGAATCATTTCACTGGATTCAGTTTTCTTTTTTATGAAGTTCATCCTGTAGTAGTTCACTCTTGGGTCTCATGGCATTAAAGCTCAAGCCCTGTGTTGTGGGGACCAAAACCATCAGCCAGAGTAGCTGCAGCATCACCTCAGGGGTTCACAGCTATGGTTTTCAGTCCATCTTTGATCTTGACAACTAGAGCATTTCTTTCTGTCTTGTAAGCTCAGCTATGCATTAAAAAAAAAAGTTTGCTGTGTCACATTTTGCATTTCAAGGAGTCCGTTTTGAGGTGATCAGATGTCAGCATTCATATACGGAGCATATATTAGGAAACACACTGTGTTCCAGGCATTAGAGATGTAAAAATGGAAATGAAGCAGTTTGTCCCTCAAGAAACTTATGATCTAACAGAGATAGTTATGAATCAGACATATGTAATAAATTTTTTAGGTGTTATAGATGCTAGAATTATCAGATCCTACCCTAGATTAAGCTCTTTAAGAATAAAGAGCTCTTTAAGAATACAGTGCCATAATTATCTTTCCATCTCTAGCATGTAGGGTAATGCTAGCAGATAGAAAGTATTCACTGAATGTTTGTTGCCTGAAGGTATGAATGAATTATAGAAATCAAACATATTTGCACTGTTGCTCATTCTCAATTTTTAATTCATAAAATGTAAGATGGTGGTTGTTTTCTAATTACAACTGAATTTGTATAAACATTTGATTTCAAGATGTTTAATTTTATTGTACTAATAATAATAGAAAAAAAAAATTCTTACTTTGTATCAGGCATTGCTCTCAGAGCTTTCCAAGCACTAACTAGCTTGAAATTCACAATAACTATCTACAATGGAGACTTTGGTGGCCTGGGTTACATATTAGAAGCTATATTAGGAACTCATTTAAATTGATCTGACTAGAGCTTCTGTAATTTTCTACTATGTATATATCCATCTGCCAGTCTACAGTTCCAAGGTAATTTTCAACTACACATTATCCTTTACTTTTACAGTTATCATCTATGTTTGTAGAATTTAGCTCATTTACAACCTGACCACTGTCTTAGTGATTGATCTATTACTATTGGTCAAGAAGGCTCACCTCATTCCAATGACTACACACCATGCTGATTTTACTGCTGCTGTGCTGTTCTCAAAACACATAGCTAGAATACACTTACATCTATGACCCATCTCTTATCCATGGCAGCTTTCCCCAGCCACCTTCCAGCTAGGAGTGGTACAACCTAACTAAAAGTAACCCCCCAAGTGCTTATACATAATCTAATTAATAACAATCTACAATTGTTCTAGGATCTAGCCAGCAACCAACATCTAGTATACTGCTTGGTAGAATTTGCTTTCCAAGAGTTGGACCAATGTCATCCAATATATTTTCCTGTCACCTTTGCTATTTCCCATGAGTTCTCAAAAAAAAATTCATAATAGTTGTAAAACTACATCTGAAATTATTTCAGTATCCAAATATGTTATATCTCAGTAGCCCAAAATATTGAAATTATTCCAAGAATATAGACGTCATTTTACTGCCTTAGCCTTAAATATCTTTTATTTATTTATTTACTTATTTTTAGGATGGGGTCTCACTCTATCTCTCAGGCTGGAGGGCAGTGGCACAATCACAGCTCAGCCTTCAGAGTAGCTGGGACTCCAGGTGGACACCACCATGCTTGGGCAAAGTTTGTATTTTTGTAGAGAAGGAGTCTTGCCATGTTGCACAGGCTGGCCATGGCCTCCCAAAGAGCTAGGATTACAGGCATGAGCCACTGCACCCAGCCAGGTACCCTTTATTCATCACTGTTCAAGTTTTTTTCCAGTTTGAATGTGGATTCTTTGGCAGGGAAAACGTAAACAAAATAGGAGTTGAACAGTTTCACAAGGCATGACCTGTGTTTGTCATCCTCAGAGTACTAGTGTTTCACTCAAATATTTATCCAGTATTAACTACGTTTCAGGCACCGTTCCAGCCACAGATATAATTGTAAACAAAATAGACAAAATATCTAGACTTAATGGTAGCTACAATATGGTGTTGCATGACATGAACAATTTTTTCCTTACTCTGAACTCACTAGTGGCTGTCTTTAGAGGACCCAGCAAACTGTTCCTCCTTTTTTCCATCTTCTCCGTCACATACATGACATCACCAACACCATCACATACACACACAGACATGCACGGCCTTCAGGCCACACCAGATGACATGGCTGCAGATCCAACCCTGCATTTGCCTGCCCCTCCTTTACTGTGAGTGTCACCTCTACCTGGAAAGGCCTTCAACCTCCAAGTCCCACAGTAATTTAAAACCTGTCATCATCTTATCTCTATGCCATCTTTATTCATTCTAACACAAATACATGTTATTCATTTCACACTCTCTCATTATAATTTAGATTACACCGTTTATAATCTACTTTGGATTGTGGTTACTTATGTATAGAGACACACCCTTATTAGATTGTGAGAAACAATCAAAATCCAGGGTTAACAAACTCTTCCCTTTTACATCTGCGAATTCCATACAGTACCGAAACAGCGGTATGCATCAAATAATTCTCAATAATGCTTGGTAACGTGAATGATTATGCCACCTTCTCTGTTGTATAACTTAATTTCTATTTATTCATTCAGTTATCTATTCATTTATTCAAAGAGTCACTTAGTTAGTGCCTACTAGTTGCCAATCATTCTCTCAAGGAATTGAGGATACATGAGTAAATAAAACAGACAATCACATTTTTTCTGAGTTTTGGAGTTATTGAAGTTACAGTTTATGAATAATCACTTGTCTGCAAGAATTGATAAGATACCGAGGCACATTGCTAAAGAAAGTGACAGAGTTTCTTATGGTGGCTGTTAAGTACAGTCGACCTTCTGTCTTGAGGTATCCAAATAAATTCTTCCCTGGAGACAGGGGGATGAAGGGTTTTAGCTCACAATATTCCCTTGAGGTCTTTAGTTTTATGAATCAATATGCATGAGGACAAATAACCAAGTGAGTCTATTCTTCTCCCCCTTCGTTATTCATTCCAACAATGAAGCCAGAGAGAGGCGTCTATAAAAATCATTAGCAGTGGGAATTGTAGTAGATGTAAGACTTCCATCAGCCCTTTAGCCCTCCTCTAAAGTAATCTATTTTTCCAGGAGCTGAAAGAGTTTAACAACCTAGAAAGGTCAATTCTCTAAAATATTCTCAACAATATCTGGATTGCTAGCATTTTGTGAGAAGAGGAGATACAAGGTAATTTTGTAAGAAGAAAAAAATGTCTTGAATAACAGAAAAGTCAAATTAGCTTTTTATCCCCTCCAGAATGGTAGTTTGCGAATGTCAGAAAACTTGACCAAAATGTAAGTATGAAACAGAACACAGGAAAATCTGCAATCATAAAATGACCACTCCTAAAAAGAAAGAAAAAAAAAAAAGACAAGTTGAGAAAGAGGAGGTTGGTTTTGTTTCTACAAAATAGAAACTTTAATGCTCGTAGCATATTTCCTTTCAAATATTTGGTTCTAAAATATCATAAAGTTGAAAAGAGGCTGAATTATCAAATTAAAGGACACAACATTGAAGATACTCTTCAGGCAACAGAAACTACGTCCGTATGCCCCGTGTGGTCATCTCCTCTCCTCCTCTTCCTCATGCCACCTCCACTCTCTGGCCTCCTCCAGCCCCCATGCCGGGGTGCCTGGAAGAGGGGCCGCAGAGAGAACCTCCCTTAAATTGACCTGGCCGCTGGCAAAAATCCCAGTCCAAAGGTTGCACTATTCATAATTCTCATGTACTCTCCCTAGAGTCCTAATGTTATTTTCCAACAGAGTGACTTCAAATAGCCTTTGTTTCAGCTTTGCTGAAGTCAGGAATTAGTTACCCCCCGACCACTGCTTTACTGAGATGCCTAAGTGAAAAGTGGAAGAAAATTCCCTTTCTATTATTTTTTCTCAGACAATTTTGGAAGTCACTTCCTGGCCAGGAAAAGAAATTCAAGCACGAGTAAGATAACTTTGTCACTGAGTAGCTAAAGGATGAATGGCACAGTCTGGGAAACTTTAGAGTATCCAGGATTCCAGGAAGACCTGTTCCTTCCCATGATGCTTAAGGACCTGATCCCTGCTCCATTGGAGACATGCTGTTGGAATGTCGAAAAGCCTCTCCATTTCCAAGACAGGAACAGATTGTCATTCTCCCAGAAGGTAACACAACCTCGAGCAGCTGAAAGGTTATAGCTATTCCAGAACAGAATATTCCACTCAAGTTTCTGCTTTATCTGGGCCCTTGGCAGTCAGCCCAGACATGAAAGAAATGTCACTGTACTGGGCCAAAGCAAGGAACTCCGTCAAAAAGGATTATGGGAAAAAATGAGCCATTGGGGAGAGATTGTGTACAGGACTTTTGGCTGAATGAGAAACTAGGCCCATTCTGAAATGAGAGCAGCTGCCATTCAACAGAAGCCCTCAGGCCTTCATTTATTTTAATAGGATTTTAGTGGAGGCTTGCCTTAGTCTTGGGTTGGTTTATCATTTATGATAAGCCATCCTGCACCATAAACTCAAACACATCCCTTCAGATTCATTGACGTTTGGGGAGTGTGATTTTATCCTCCCTTCACTTAACATACACTTTTTGATGGCTTACAGTCTGACAGGCACTATTCCAGATTCTGAGCTTCAGCTTTGAAACCAGAAAGACAAGGACCTGTCTTCCACGGAGCTTCACATGCTAGCGTGTGGCCTTGTTGGGGACGGGTGGTGGAGGAGTGGGAAAAGGATGTAGAAAATGAACAAAGAAAAAAGATATTAATGAGGTAATTTTTTAAGAGCTCAGATTATTCTTTTATTTTTATTTGTTTTTATTTTCATTTCGGATTCGGAGGATACCTATGCAGGTTTCTTACATGGATATACTGTGTAATAGTGAGTTTGGGTTAGTGTTATAAGGTAATTTCTTACCTTTTTTTCTTCCACAAAGAAAATACACAAAGAAGATGCCACAGATTGACTGGAATAAGGATGAGGGTTTTTTTTTTTTCCTTTCTTTTTCTTTTTCTTTTTTTAGAACTGGTGTTGCTGAGGAGATGATCACTGAACTTGGATGTCGATGATCAAAGCCAACAGATACGGGGTCAGGGGCTATGATGGAGGCTACACAAAATGGAATATCTAAAATGGAACTAAAACTTGGGATTAAAATATGAACAAAATACGAACTTACGAAATAACATATATGTATATCAGAGGAAGATACGTTTTACCAAAATATCATATGTGTACATTTTTCAGATACAATAAATATTGTTCCATAGTTCACTTTTCTTAGCCTTTTTAGCTTAAAGATGTCATAAGGAGAGACTAGTCAATAAATTAGAAGTCCTAACATCTGAGGTGACCTTGCTCCTGCCAGTGTATGGCCTGCAAGACTAAACTCCCAGGGACTAGGGGAGATACTCGTCACATGATTCCAAATTTCAATTAGGCAGGAGGAATAAGTTCAAGAGATCAATCAGGTATCCTGGTGACTATTGTTAACAACAATATATTACATACTTAAAAACTGCTATGAGAGTGTATTTTAAGTGTTCTTACCAAAAAATAAATAGTAAATAATAAATAAATAAATAAAAATAATAAGTATGTGAGGTGAAGATAAGTTAATTAGCTTGATTAAGCCATTTCACAATGTATACATAAATCAAAACATCAAGTTATATACATAAATATACACAATTTTCAACAATTTAAAAAAATTAATTACTATTTTAAAAGCCTAGAGAATTCCCAGAAGTCAACAGATATTTTATGAAGGCACAAGAGCAACCTTTGTCCTCAGTGCAAAAATATCAGATTCCATTTAAAAAAAAATAAAAAAAAGAACAACTTCCAGCCAAAAGCTCTGACCTCTCAATAGATCCGGGAGATACAATGTCAAGGTAGAGAATCTGGCAAATGTAACTAAAGAAATACAGTTCCTCCTTTTTCCTACCCCCTTTCCACTTTAAACTCTATTCCTAGCACTTCCACTTTATACTCAAATGTCCATATCATCTTGTTACAGGATGTCTGACCTTGGTTTTATAATTACTTTATGGTGCATCATTATTTTTCACTGTGTATCATTATCTTTTTCACTATAACCAACAGAATCATCCAGAAGATTTATCTATCAGGAACCAGGGGGGCTAATGTGGGTGCTCAGCTTTCTTTTTGGGATACTTGGTGAGTCCATCATTGTGCAACTTAACGCTAGACTTCCTTCTATCCGGTTGTGTGTGTGACCGTCTGTCTTCATCAACCTTCCTTTTCATGATGGAGTTTGTATGCTTTTCTGGGACTTTTTGGTACTCATTGTTCATTGCTTCTACTATATGAGAAAAACATCTGTACTCTGTAGGAAAGTTTTGCTTCAGTGATAAAACAGAACCCAATATGCAAACAGAAAAAAGTTAGGTTGGTCTGAGGGTAGTCATTTGCCATATGTAATGTCGGATGATAACAGACAATGCATATGAAACTGCTGAGAGGAAAATGCCGTTAACCAACTTCCTCTGCCAAATTGTTGTTCATGGGCAAAAGTAAATAAAGACAGTCTCTGTCACATGACTTCATAAGAAAAACTTAACATAATTCATTTGACCCAAGAGTGAACAAAGTTTAGAACCTCCAAGTGGAAAACAGCAGGTAAACAGTCAATGAGTTAAACCGTGTTAATCTCAGTAGTTTTTATAAAAATGGTTACAGGTTATAAAAATGGAAACATGAAAAATTCTTCTTGAATACGATACATGGTACAAAATGTATTCTTTGCTTCCACACCCCAGATTAGGTTAGCTAAGATTTGGGAGTTGCTGGAGTGCAGACAGAATGACAAACTCTACATTCCTCCTTGTACACATGGGGAACCCAAAAGATACTATTTCATTCTGAAGTTTTCATAATCAGAAAAGCATAAGGAATAAACTGGTGAATTTAATTTTATTTTTTATTTATCAATAATAAGGTTTGAAACACTGACTTGTTGCTTAACTTGAAACTTAGAAAAAACCAGAAATGGTATGTAAAGGAATTCTGATTCAAACCCAAATTCTTCCGATGTCTGAGTATTTCCCAGTCTTACTGATGTCTCCATCTCTGTCTTAGAACGAATTTTCCCTCCTGAATCTTCTAGCTCAAATACATACCCACAGAAGCAGACTCACTGTGTGCTTTTTTCCTCATTCACTTGAGAAAATTAAGTCTCTGCCTACACAGCCCCATCTCTGCCTTGATTTTCCAGATGCCAATCTTCTTCATATCATTTGCATGAACATGTCGTCTACCAATGCCCCAAGAATAAATGGCACACAGCACCCCGAAAACCTGCCCACTCCTCCCAGGCACTTAATCCAGAGGGATAATAAGCAATATTCCACTCACCTGTTTCTACACCTGTTTCTTATTTCTCCCAAGTGGCTCTGATATCTAGCTCTTGATATAATGTATCCTTAAAGGGAATCCTTCCAACAGTTAATGATTCCCACCACATCTCCTCACATTAATAAAAGGAAAAAACAGAATAATATTAACAGTGAACAGCAGCAGCCAAAAGAAACCCAGAGCAACACATTGGCAGTATTTTCTACTTGTATTATAGTGTCTATTTGCCTGGACCCTTATTTCTCTCAGGCCTAGTGCCTAGAGGTATGTGCTAATTTGCCAGGCTGCTTTAATATTTAGTGAGGAGCCGCAGCCGACCAATAATTTTTAATAGCTTGTCCTCTATTGATTTCAGCCCACACATTAAAGCGCCTAATAAAAATTTTAGAAAGATAGGTGAAGGGACATAAGGATGAGAGAAGGTTAATAGTTTTGTCCACCTCCATTTGAAGGGAACAAGAGAATTATTTCAACTCATATGCAGAGTTTGTATAGTTAGACAATTGCTGACTCACCATCTTTCAGAAATTTTTTTTTCTTTTCAACAGACAAAGTCTCATTCTGCCACCCAGGCTAGAGTGCAGTGGTGCAATCACAGATCACTGCAACCTTGACCTCTTGGGCTCAAGTTATCCTCCTGCCTCAGCCTGCTAAGTAGGTGGGACTACAGGTGTGCAGCACCATGCCCAGCTAACTTTTTAACATATTTTTTTGTAGAGATGGGGTCTTGCCATGTTGCCTAGGCTGGTTTCAAACTCCTAGGCTCAAGTGATCCTCCCACCTCAGCCTCTCACACTGGGATTACAGGCATGAGTCACCACACCCGGTCTTTCAGCAATATTTTAAAGATTAGCTTACAAAGTACACGTTCTTTTATTGATATGGCTGTGTTCTTCAGCAATTTCTGAAATCAGTAATTTCTGATGAGGTGTAGATGGGTTTGTTTTATAAATTCAAAACCCTTGGGGAGCGAGCAATAACATGTTAAAAGAAAACCAAAGTTCCCAACATGCGAGTGCCCTTCAGATGTTGACCCACGCCACCCCTTGACCTCCTGCCCTGGAATAACTGATGTAATAGGAGACTGCAACAGACAGATTAAAAAATAGAGGCATCTATTGTAATTCCAGAACCGTACATTCGAAGATCCCTGGCACCAAAGGCCTAAGACTTTATAAAACAGGAGGATTGTACTTATCCCTGGATGTGACTTGGGGAGAAAGGAAAAAACTGTTTTAGCTAGTATGTATCGTTTTAGAAGAAAAGCATTTGTTCTAAAGCAGACTTCAGTCTCAGCATAGAAAACAACTGCCATCAAAAGAAGTCTTTGGGATCATGGATGTGGCAGCTTGCCAAAAAATAAAAAACAGGAACATTAATTAAGTACTTCTTTAAGCCTCAAACTCTTCATGAATTCTGAAATTTATCCTCTAAAGTAATTCGTTCTCTCTTTTCATTCTCACATCTGTTTAAGTTAGAATGAAACCTAAAGGGTGATCTCTCTTGGGTGAAACAGCAGGGGGCTTTGGGAAACAGAATGATTATGGGCATTTAAACCAGAAGTGTATCGGAAAGGGGTGCTAGTCAAAGACAGATATGTGTCCTTGGTGGTACGGTACCCCATTTGTGCTGAAAGATGTTTTTGAGGAGATCGAGTGGTGCAGTGAAAGGATCATTTACGACATTGACACAGGCTTTAACAGGCTACCATTAAAGCCCATATGTTCAGAAAAACATGCGACTCAAGCTCGCTTACTCAGCAACGATGCAGTGGTTGAGTCCCTGCAGGTCAAACACAGGGCTAGGCAGCACGAGAGACAAAGGAAAAAAACACAATTTATTTCTCAAATAGGATTACAAGTTAACCATAAAAGCAAAGCACACTTATGAAATAACGTGAGGGAGAAAGCAAAGTGACATTTTAGTAGGTCACTGTGCTAGACTCTGAGGATTAAATGGAGGAAAGGTCTAAAGCCCTCTAGCCAAGAGCTTATTTATGACACAACTAGGGTCCACAACAGGAATATCTATTTTGTGTTCAAATCAGCTGAGGCCTCGATGATGTCATGGTAGGGTGAACGACCCTTCCTCCCCATTTGCAGGGGGAGCAGGGAGGTTCCTGGGATGAGAGATTTTCAGTGTTAGAACTGGGACAGTCCCAGGAAAACTACTGAGATAAGTTTGTCACTCAACGTGGGGAAGCAAGCATAGTTTTGGAGACAGATGGCTGTATGTTTAAATCAAAGTCCTGCTGCCATTGTCTCTGAGACAATGAACAAGAAGTGATTTTAAATTGCTCTTTGTGTCTTTGACTGTTTATCTGAAAAAAGAGGTTTCATAGGTTATATAGATAGTGTATTAAGAGACCTGGCACGTGGTGGGCACACTGTAATTACAGCATGTGCTACACACTAAAACAGTGCTGTAGACAGACATCTCTAAGGATTTCAGAAGAAGGAAATAGCCATTGCAGTTTGGGACGGACAGGAAAGATTCCTAAGTAGGATGATGTATCATTTATCTTCTAAGTTGGGATACTTTTGAATGAGAAACAGGATGCTCTTGATAAGTATGCTGAGACAGCAGGTATAAATAAACAGTGCCTGTTCTGGGCCCATCAGAGTACGGTCAGCAATCCTTGACTTCAACACTGAAGACAGCCTGGAACTTAGATTGCAGGAACATCATGAGATGCAAAGGCCAGGTTCCACTAGGCATTTTATAAACTGGTTAGAGAAGCCTGATCAGTCCTTGTTAAAGGATTCTTAAATGCCAGTTAGCAAGTTGGTTTTGTCTCTTAGGTCGAGAGGAACCACTAATAGTGTTTGAGTCAAATAACACAATGCAGAAATATCATAACAGATAAAGAGTCTAAAGAACTCATCTTCTGGCCGGGCATGGTGGCTCATGCCTGTAATCCCAGCACTTTGGGAGGCCAAGGGGGGCAGATCACGAGGTCAGGAGATCGAGACCATCCTGGCTAACACGGTGAAACCTTGTCTCTACTAAAAATATAAAAAAATTAGTCGGGCATAGTGGCAGGTGCCTGTAGTCCCAGCTACTCAGGAGGCTGAGGCAGGAGAATGGTGTGAACCTGGGAGGTGGAGCTTGCAGTGAACTGAGATCGAGTCACTGTACTCCAGCCTGGGCCACACAGTGAGACTTCATCTCTAAA